TCAAAATTACTTCGAGTATGCATTTATAAATTATTTCTTTTAAATATTCCCAACTTTTTGCTAAAATATATATATATATATCTTTTTAAAAGATCCTGGACCGTGGACATTTTTATTACAAAGTAAATCTTGGATTATATGGTCTACGGTGTGGAGTATTATATACAGTATTATATTTATTACGACCTGTATAATAATGTATTATATCTTTGGATCTTGGGACTGTACTCCAGAAAATCCGAACACCGTTACTTTACCTATTATTTCACTTTGTTCTCTTGGTATGTTTTATTATGTTATGTGAAAAAAGTTTAAATTTTAATTTTTTGACACTTTTTTTTGTTTGTTTTGTAATCTTTAGCTTCTTCAATAATTTTACAAATTGATCCAAATGGTATAAGAGAAGATCGTTTATCAATAACAAGTTATAAATTAATCATCGGATTAAGGTTTGCTTCTTTATGTTTATTTTATGTCATGTTACAATTTTTATGGTAAGGTATCAATAAAAAAAAAAAATTTTTTTTTTCTATTCAGTCATTTTCAATTTTACTTAAATGATTGACAATTCTTTAGGATAAAAGCAACCAGAGAGATAACTAAATTCGATACTCACCTATTACCATATATTCGAATCATTTCAAACGTTCAACGCATAATCTTACACTTTTCTATTCTTATAATCTTAATCTCTATTATTCTAAAGATTATAAATCAAATTCTAAATTTATCATCTACAAATTCACAATTATTAAATTCTTCAATTATATTAGAAATTATATTTGTTGTAATAATAAATCTAGGGTATTTCATATTTGGAATTATTATGATTTGGGGATTAGCAGCAAATCGAGAAGTACATCAAAGGATTGGTGAAACTTTGATTTATAAATTTGTTAATAAAGGAGATAAATGGAAAGCTGGAAGGGTAAATTATTATTTATTTTTATAAAAATTCATTTTTTTTTTTTTTTATATTAATTATATATATTAATTTTATATTATTTCTATATTTTATATTGTATTCTTTTAAGGTTGTTTTAGTAATGTGTATTCTAATGATATCATTTTCATTCCTAACTCTTTCCGATCTATTCTTTTCAAATTCTATTCCCACTATATCAAATTTTTGGAAATCAAGGGTAGGTAGGTTTCTTTTTATAATATTTAAAAAGTTTCAAAATAATAATAAATAAATAAATAAATGATTTTTTCATATAATTTATATAGGTAACAGAAGATTTATCAACTTTTATAACATTATTCTCTTTAATATTTTTACTTAGAATTCGAAAATTTTCTTGGTTATTGGTAAAACCAAAATCATTATTATTAACAAATTTAAAACTTGACAAAAAAAGTGGTAAAGGAGTTTTATATTCATCTATTGATGAAGAAGATGAACGTATAAATTCTGCTGCTTATACTACTCGTATTGCTGTTATTCGACCTGAACCTACTTATAAAATGAATCCAAATAGAATTGATGTTACCGGTAATCTTCAATTTGGTAATTATGATATTAGAAATGATAAAGGTGAAAAAGTTATAAATGATAGGAATAAATTATTAAATGTAGATGAAGCAATAGATGAAAAAAATATTATAAGGGATAATACAAAATTAAAACCTTCTGGTAGTAGTAATGGAAATGGTGGAAAAAGTGAATCTAATAAATTTGATATTATTGATTTATAAAAAAAAATTATATTTATATATATATATATAAGTAGATCTATAAAAAAAATCATAGTAGATAGTACAAACAAACAATTTAAAAAAAATAGTTTAATAATTTTTATTAATTTATTAGTCTTAATTAGGGTATTTTTATAGCATTATTATTAGTATAGAAATATTGGTAGAAGTATTCATTAGATCAAAAGTTTTATTAAAATGAATTTTATTAATGTTAAATTTTAATAGTTAATATGTACTCTGGTAAAAAATTTTGTTAATAGTTAATTGAAATAATTATTAAAATATATAATAATTCAAATATATTGCATCCTATATTATATTCCAAATATGTTGCATCCTATATTGGTAGATATTACTGTTCGTATATTCTAATCAAACTGAATAAAAAAAGTTTGAAGGTTTTTGAAGAAAAAAAGTATCGGCTTCAACAAATTATCGTATAACGAAAAATTAAAAAATAATATTTCAATAAAGCTTTATAAGCAGCAATTAATTATTTATCGCTGCGATTTGATGCGATAAGGTTCCGTCTGTGCTAATTATTTTTTAAAGAGTAATTTCGCTATTGCTTATAATAAATAACTACTCTTTAATGTATTTGGATATAAGGAACTCAAACCATTTCTCTAATTATTTCGGCAATTATGAACAAATTTGCCACTAATAGAACTGATTTGACTAAATAATTATTTATTGTTACGGCTGAAGCTGGAAATGGTTGATGCTGGAAATTTAAATACTTTAATATGAAATTTACAAAAAAATTTTGGGGTGCATTTTCTACGATTTTTTTTTTATAGTTAGATTAGAATTTAGTGTTAGGGTTTATAACAAAAGAGTATAGTTTGATTTTAGCAGGGTTTATGATTTTAAATTGAGACCCCTAATTTCCAGCATCCGCGACATTTATTAAGAGAAATAAATTGTATAAATACGCAAATAAAGTATAATTTATTCCTGATACAGTATAAAAATCCACTCGATAAACTAATGATCAAATTACTACTCTAAATAATCTCCTAAATTATAAACGAAGATATCTAGCACCAAAAGTCAAGATTCGAATGCCCTTAAACATTAAAATTGACCAAAAGCTTCGAAAAAATAAAATAAAAATAAAAAACAGCTAGAATTAGAGTCACTTTGTCGAAAGTGCATTCTAAAAATATTTGATCTAGAGTTGCATTTGTGTTAACCATATCAATACTGCCCAAACCAAAATAGTACCTACAGCTAATGAACACATTCTGAAAAAGCTTGAAGAATATAAAGATTCTACCGCATTGCCCAGTGAAGTTCTTGATGAATTGGTCAAAAAGTTGTCGTCGTATACAGTACTAATTATTGGACGCGAAAACGAATTTGGGATCGATAGTATAACAGATATAGAAGGCATGTGCAGAGTTATAATACTCATATAAAATAAATTTAACACATAATAAGTGAACTTTGTTTTGTAAGCGAGATCAAAATTATAAAATGTAGACAATAAATCTACTTGCCGTAAAACGGTTTTCCCTGATTTTCGTCACTACTCATAATGTACTAGCCCTTTACAGATGCATTTTGTCGAAAGCTTTCCCTCTGACGCAACTAGTAATCTACTTTTATGTCAAAAAATTGCAAACTCGCCAAGAATCATACAAAAATAGACAACCTATTTCAAAGGCACGGTATTTTATAAGAAAGCAATGAATGGTTTTTACAATTTTCATACTGAACTGTTCTGTTCGTATTAGCCTCAGCAACAACTTTGTTTAAAAGAAGATCATAGATTTTGACTAAGACTTTGGGTGAAATTTTTAAAAATGTAAATTCTTCGATTTGTGTAATTTTGAAATCATTTTATTATGTTTAGTTCTAAACATTTTTGCAAAAACAAATGAGTAAATCGTTCATTAAATCCAAAAAATAAGTTGTTTCTACCTACTAATATAGGAAAAGGAAACATTTCTAGAATATAAAACCTAAATCACTGTTGTCAATTACCAATCATCGATTCTCTTTACTGATAAGAAGGATTTTTTTTTCTCGAATAGGCTTATTTGTAGCAAGCAACACCATCTCTCTACTCGATGAAATCAAACAAACAAAAGAAACGAATTATACCGCTCCACAATCTCTGAATAGAAAATAATTCATGAAAAAATTCATTCCAAACTATTTAGCCTATAAGGATTAAATAATACTTCAGGTACGATGAAACGTTTATTATTCATGTATAAAACTTAATTATCCGGCATCTTAATATGATATTCCTACCCAATAATTTTATCAGGCCTACCGAAAAAATTATTGCGGGGGCAATTAATTGCAATTTTTCGAACACAATTAATTGATTGGTGGCGCAGCCACAATTGATCAATTAATTGCAATTTTTACGTAATTAGCCTACAATATATTCGCCGACAAAATTTATTAATTTAATACGTCAAACTTGAGTAATGTAATATATTTGAGTTAAATAAATTATTGATTAAATTTCATAATATATAAAATTGTATAGACATCAAAGTAGTATGCTTATTTTTTCATTTTTATGATAGCATTAATGAGTACAAAAGTTTCAAATAAGTTTTATGTTGAGGCCTTTTTTAAACCTATAAATGATAGTAAACACCAATGTAATTTGTGTCCTCCTGGCTCACAATCAATATCTCAAAAAAAAGGAAGTGGCTATACGAATTTAATGAATCATTTAAGTATGAAACATGAAAGTTTTAAGTTGATATATCAACAACGTATTGAATCTACTTCTACAGCAAACGCTGATATTTTTAATTATAGCACAAGTGTGCATAATATTTTCAATTGGATAAGTCTAATTGTAAAGTGTCAATTACCTTTCAACGCCTGTGAAAATCCGGATTTTGTTGCACATACAAGTCTTTCAAGATTGGATGTTGCTACGGTTAGCAAATATTTTAATAGCTTGGCAGATATAGTATGAGAAAGAATAAAAAATATCTTACCAAAAAAGATTGGAATTATGTTTGACGAGTAGACAAATAATGGGATTCACTTTGTTGGGTTATTTGGCATTTATCAAACAGTTCACAAACCTAGAAATTTAGTTTTGTTTGCATTTTCTTCATTTGAAGACCATAGTACTCAAAGTGCAGATGCACATATTAAGTTTTTTGAGAACGTTCTAGAATCATATGATAAAAGTGTTAAAGACATCTTGTTTCTTTCAGGAGAAAATTGTAGCACTAACAAGAAAATTGCCAATAATTGGAATCTTCTGCTTGTAGGATATGCGTCATATCATCTAAATTTAGCTATTAACGATCTTATTAATTCGTCATCTGCTCTTGTAAGTCAAATTTATGCAATTGTAATAATGATGCGAACTTACAAGAATTGCGAGAAACTTGTAAAGGTAACATCTTTAAATCCTATATTAGATAATGCAACTAGATAGATGAGTGTACTAAAAATAGTTGAACGATGTAAAGAACTTATTCCACATGTTATTCAAACTAATGGATTTTCGTGTTAATTTAACTATTTTATTTTTAGTTTTTTTTTAATTTTTTTTTAATTTTTTTTTTTAATTTTAATTTTTTAATTTTTAATTTTTTATTTCTTAGGTCGAGATATTTCATTAGTAGAGCAATTA